ATGAGAGGCCTACGCCCTTGATTCACCTTACTCAGAGCCTGCAGTCCCCTCGGACGGAGCTCGTAATAAAGACCCACGCATCGCGCCCACATAGGTCTGTAGGATGACGGCTCGAGAAGACGACTTGTGACAAGGGAAATCATGACTTGTGAGCACCTTCATTTCGCAAACCATGGCGCCTTATGGCGCGGAACGGCGCCATCGGATTGGCTCACCAGAAAAACAAACGTCCTCTGATTGGTGCGTCGAAAAATTGCGTGTGCACCAATAAAATCGCAGAATCGAGGCATGCAGCTCGCTCCGTCTGACGGAGCTCCGCACCGCGCAGGCGCTGGCCCACGACGCTGCACGCCGCAAGAACGACCGCACATCGACCTACCGCAGCAGCAGCGCGCACTACGTGTCGTCGACTCTCAACATCTTGGCGGCGACCGTCACGAACGTCCCATGTTATGCCACCGCCGCTGACGTCGCCGCGTTTTGCCGACAGCACGCCAACCTCGGCAGCAGCTTCCTGTCCGTGTCGATGGCGCCGTACGAGCCTGGACGACGGGCTCGATCCACTGTCTACGTGGCGTCCACACTTCACTTGGCGCGTCTCCTCAGCCTCGACGGGCTCGATTGGCAGCGCGCGCCTCTCTGCGTGCGCGAGGTCGAGCCCAACACGTGATCGGCCTGCGCCGATGTCACCAGCGAATTCTTGGACGGACGATCCTTGCACGTGCTTCGTGCGGCGGTGAGTGCAGCATCCACGTTTGTCACCGTCGACAGGGTCACGTTTACGTGCTCGAGCACGGACGCGACGGCATTTGCAATCACGTTTGACGGCGAGAACGACTACCGCTACCGCGTCTGCTTCAAGGTGACCAGCATCGTCCACTGTTGCGTCGGCATCAACCGATTCGAGCACGTCGTCGTTCGGTTCACGTTGCAGACGCCACCGTTTCTCTTTGTCGGCGACCCGGACGTTGACGGACGAAAACCGCATCTGGCCGATCGCCGACGCTGCGTACAAGTGGGATCGATCGGACGATCCGTCGCCCAACGGTGCGTTTGGTCACTGCCGATGCTACCATCTCGTGCTTGCCGACGGCGTCGAGGCCACCGACGTCATCTTCTTGCTCACGAGGTTTGGCGTCACGGACGTCGCGCGCGAACCGACGGTGCCCGTGTACGCCGGATTGTTGTCGCCACGGCCAACCGACTGGGCGTACGGTCATGCGTACGAGCTGCAGCACCTTTCGTTTCCGCTGCGGTATGCGCTGCACGTCCTCATCTCGCAAGAGGCGTTGGTCTTTGAACGCGGTGCCGACGCGGCGACAGTGGTTTGGATGCTTGCGCAAACCCACGCGTCGGCGACCGACGTCATCGAGTATCTCTACACGCCGCTGCGCAGCCCACCGGATATGCCACCGAATCTGCATCCGTTTGGCCGCTGGCTGTCCACCTGCCCCAACCACCCATCCAACGACACGACGACGACACCGACGACACCGACGACGACGACGGTGTCGAGGAAGGCCGACGACATGACGCCAGCAACGATGCCACAAGTGCGTCGGGTGCTCGTGACACCATTACGCATCGTCGTCGAAGCCCCGGAGGTTGTCGTGTCGAACCGCGTCTTGCGCCAGTATGCCCAGCACATGGACCGGTTCCTCCGCGTCAGCTTCGTCGACGAGCACTTTGGCCCGCTGCACGGCGCCAAGAGTCCTCGGATCCTCGATCGCATCGCGGCTATTCTTCGGCATGGTCTCGTCGTCGGTGGCGAAACGTACGTCTTTCTCGGGTACTCGAGCTCGCAACTGCGCGCGCACAGCTGCTGGTTTTACCGGGATCCGCCCATTGGGACCGTTGGCGTGCCGACAGCAGCGTCGATCTACGCCTCGGTCGGACAACTGGACGTGATACCGTCGGCCAGTACGCGCGGCGCTCGGCTCGGTCAAGCACTCAGCACGACGACACCGACCGTGCGCCTGCGACGGTACGAGTGCGGTCGCCGCCCCGACAGTACGCGCAACGGCTACGTCTTCTCCGATGGCATTGGCGCCATCTCGCCCTACATCGCTCAGGACATTGCCGACGACCTCGGGCTCAAGCACGTGCCGTCGGCGTTTCAAATTCGGTACGGCAGCTCCAAGGGCGTTGTGAGCGTCAACACATCGTTTGTATTGACCGACATTAACATGGAGCTCCGCGACTCGATGCACAAGTTTGCTTCGGAGCACGACGCGATCGAGGTGTGCAGCGTGCCACAAGTGCTGCCTGCGTACCTCAACCGCCAACTCATCACGCTTCTCTCGACGCTTGGTGTCCGCGACGACGCGATTCTGTCGCTGGCCGACGACATGCTGCGGGAGACGGCGGCGCCGCTGGACACGCTGACCAAAGCCATTCGGTTTGTAAAAGCGTACGCACCAAAAGCGCCAATCCGACGCCTTCTCGAGGCCGGGATCAGCATTCACGACCAACTCGTCGCCGACTGGCTGCACCTTCTGCGCCGCCACTTGCTCTACAGCGTCCAGTTCAAAGCTCGGATCCGTGTGCCCGATGGCGTCGTTCTCATGGGTGTGCTGGACGAGACCGGCAGGCTGCCCGAAGGCTGCGTCTTTTTCCAGTCCAGCGGCATGTCTCGCTATGCGATCACACCGCCGGCACTTGGCACGCGCTGCGTCGTCGGCCGTAACCCGAGTCTCCACCCGGGCGACCTTCGGATTCTGACATACTACGCGGATGTCCCGGCGCTCCACCATCTCTATGACGTATTGGTCTTCTCGTCGCGCGGGGACCGACCCGTGACCGACATGATGTCGGGAGGTGACTTGGATGGCGATCTGTACTTTTGTCTCTGGGACCACCGACTCGTGCCGGCGCAGGATGTGCCACCGATGCACCCGCCCCCAACCTCATGGGGCATTCCACCGCCGTCGTCCGCCCCCGGCATCCAGGTGCAACTGCAATCTCACATC